GTGAGTGAGAGAGGGAGAGAGAGAGAGAGAGAGAGAGAGAGAGAGAGAGAGAGAGTTTGCGGGGGTGTGTGAGTGTGTGTACTTGAGAGCAAAACAGAAATGTGAACGTTGATGGGAATTAAATCTTGTTGGGAACGTGTCGTGTCGTGAAAGAACCGTTTCTTTTTCTTTTTCTTTTTCAAACTGCCTTGGTTTGACTGAATTCTTTTTCCTTTGCAGTGTCAATACGTGCAGAAAGTTGAACTACCTCCACAAATCTTCAAGTTTTTTTATTATCATTAYTTAATTAAAAAACATAATTCAGTCTGTTTGTCTACATGCTGCTGTCTTCAAATGCCAAACTAATAAACCAGCATGAGCACCAGATGAAGAGATTTTACAAAATGTAAATAATCAGGTAACAAAAAAAATTGACAGCTGACAGAATTTTCTGAACAGCACAACACAATTTGTTAATATTAATATAAYAGTATAATATAATAAATCATAAATTTAATTCAGTAATTTGCTTTATACACAACAAAACGTCATGTCATTTATTATTACACCTTGTGTGAAAAAAATCCAACTTACACGTCACAATTACTGCAATTAGTTACTTTCWTTTTCTTCTTCCATTTTTTTCTTTTTTAGGAATTTGGGACTTATTCTCATCATACAAACTAGCAAATTCCAGAACCTAAAATCTCTTTTTTATTCTTTTTCAAAGTCAGTTTTGCCTAAAAAACACAAAATCCTGGAGGCATCGTTAAACATGAAAGCATTGATAAAAGTGAAAACAATTATTGTCATGTTCATAAAAAAATTAAACCTTAAAACATATTTTACTGGGTATTGTGATTTATAGTTCAAAAAACATTTTGTGGTTTACTGTAAAAGCTGTATGATCTTAAAAGCTTTGTTGGAGGATGAATGCAAATTTAGTTAAGATTTGTTGGTTCAAATAAATAAATAAATATCCTGAAATTGTCTAAAAATKTTCAGATTTATCAAAGGTTTTGATAGATTTTATCTCTTACACAAATATACTAAGTTTGCAATTACTTACATAAATATAGAAACTAGTAATACGTTTACCAAAACACAGAGTTTTTACAAAAAAAATGTTTAGCCAACTTTGAGGACACAAAAATAAAAACACATCAAATAAACAAATTTTAAATGCGCAATTTAGCCCTAAAGTCTGAGGAATTCAGTGGGAGGACAGTTCTCCAGGAACTGCTCAGATAACCTGCTAACACCACAGCTTTCCTGATAAAACTTAAAACAGATAAAACTCTCTGCACACCCAGCTCCATCATGACTGCAACATGCATGTGTCTGTTTGTCTGCAAAACTACAGATTTATACAAAAAATAAATCAAATAAATACATGCCTGGACCAAGCTGTGTGTGTCGCCTTCTTTCTCTTTAGGCTGCTTCCCTTTAGGGGTCGCCACAGCGGATCATCTGCCTCCATCTCACTGTAACATCCTCCTCTGTCAACCCTCTGCATGTCCTCCTTCATCCATGAACCTTCTCTTCAGTTTTATTTTCTTTTTCATTCTCTCCTCTTTCTGCAATACGAATACGTTCAAACGCATCTCAGCCTCCCAACTTTGTCTCCAAACTGCTCAGCCTGATCTGCACTCATTTTAAATTCTGATCAATAAGAAAAGAAAAGAAAAATTGTCCTCGTGACTCCAAAAACCATACATCACCTGCCATCCTGTAAACAGGCTGACGGAAAGACAGCGAAGTGCAAATGGATGAAAAATGTTGGCTAAACTTACGACACGTGAAATGATCGACAGCTATTTCTATCCAACACCATATTCTGGTTTACTTACTAAAAAACATAAAAAGAATAATAAGATCATGAAAACGCAGCTTGAAGTACAACAACAAAACTCAGTTAAAACTTTGATTTTAAATGAGTTACACAAATATTACTCTTTTTTCCCCAACCAGTTATTTACTTATCTGATGTACCMACTTAATCCCATTCAGGTGACAGGACAGGTCAGTCTTGATCAGGAAAGTCTTCATAAATTAAAGAGGAAAAGAGCAGCAAAAACAAAAACAAAAAAAATTTAATAATTAAAAGAAGAGACAACATGAGTAAAACCCCTGGCAGGAGCAGGAGAATCCATCCAGCTCATTTACAGCATGATGGATTTAAACCCATCCAATCCCACTAATAACCCTGGAACAGGTTTCGACACTGAAACAGACAGAAGACGRCACGAATTTACCTGAAAATCCATGAAGAACAAAAACAAAAAGTTGGCCTCTCTACAAACAAAAAGTGAAGAATTAGGGAGATGAGGGAGAAGAGACGGAAGAGCAGCCAAAGTTTGGATGGCTTTCTGGTGTAGGTTTGCTTCTCGTTAGGAGCTCAGAGGGAGTGTTTGGCTCGGAGAGGCGGTAAATGAGAGGAACAAGTTAGTACACTGAGTCTGAGAGAGTTTGGCTTCCAGCTATGCTCTGATTAATATCACATCTCCCTCTCTTCTCGCCTGCCTCTTGACAATCTTGTCACATCTGGCTGACAAATCCTTACAAGCCTTTTGGTGGCAGCGCAGGATAAATGCAACGGATGGCTGCAGTGGTGTGTGTGTGTGTGTGTGTGTGTGCGTATGTGTGTGTGTTTTACAGGGTCAGGGAGGAGCAGATCACAGCTTCAGGAGACACTCAAGGGGGGTGAAAGGCTGGAGAAGATTCACTCATATTTTCCCCCACCCCTCCCTTTGTCCCCTCATGGGTAGACATCATCAAGCTAATGAAGCTGATGCAGCTGAGCTGAAGCTGGCACCAAGGAAAAAAAAACAGAAAGAAGCACAAAATGCATCTACAAAGAGATGAACCGTAACATCAACTCTGAATTATTTTCACTTTGAGCTATGACATTATGTGTGTGTTGAGAGGCCCTGCAGTGCTCAAAGACAAGACAAACAACTGATATTTACAAAAATAAAGGACAGTGAGAAACAAAACGAAACAACGAAGGAGATAGCAGCAGAGTAAAAAGATGAGATGAGCGGATGTTAGAGGAAAAACAGAGGATGTTCTGGTGTATTCTCACAAACACAAACACACCAACACGTAAGATTTGCTGAAAGAATTGACAATTAGGAAGAAATCAGAAGTCAAATCACTTGTTTTACTGATTCTATTTGTTTTATAAAAAGAGTTTTATATCATTGTGTTTAGTTTTAAAAATCAGAATTTTCACATTTTTATGTTTCAACAAAACTATATATTATATTACATACTTCACTGCTGAATTGATTTTTAGATTTTTTTTCACGTTTATTTTTAAGCTCTACAATTATTAAACTATTTTATTAAATGGTCAATAAGTGTCCATGCTTTTAAAAATGTGGATGTAAAAAAAAGATTTCTGCCTCAGTGATTGAATGAAAGCGTTTCACTTATTGAATGTAGAGTTGTCATGATGTTAGTTTTAATGATTTATTGCTTTTATGCAAGAATTTTAAAGGGATTTCAATCGTTGTGGCTTCTTTTCAGCACCGCTTACAAACAAAAACAGTTTCTCTGCCACACCACAGACAACTCAGCTGATTCTTATTGACAAAAAAGACGAACATTTCCTTAAATCACAGTAAAGAGTTCTAGAAATAGTGAGTCCAGCACGCAGGAGGCAGCAGGATGCCAGGTAGACCTGCAGGCTACAGACAGGACGAGGCCCAGGTAAGTAGTGAAGACCACCTTTACTTTCCTCTACAACACCTAAATATTGTTCTGATAACAAGCAACTGGTGATTGCAATGAAATAAAAAAATATAAAAGCTCACAACGAGCACAAATTATAAAAGATTTAAGAAAAAACTGATAAAATGAGAGATGTGAATGCAAGTCAAAGATGTATTTTTCTATAAATAAATTTCTAAACATGTCTTTTAAGTGCTGGAAGGCATGCCCCCACCCTTCATGGAGCAAAGTGCTCWGTTTGTCTTCATCTTTAAGATTGGAGGCGTTTCAGAACATCTTCAAACATGAGCGTTTTTAAAAAAAACTTCTGAACTTTTCAGTTTACTTTTACAAAATTAGATGTTTACTAAAAGTGACAAGAAAAATAAATATCCTGGGATTTTCTTTTAACTCTAAATAGAGAAACAATTACTGAGCTGATTTCTTTCTTTCCTTTTTTTAATTTACAAATGAATGTCCTAATTTCCAGCTGATGATTGACACATCACTTTAACAAATTTTTAAACTTGCATGTAAAGTCAACGGCTGCACATTTCCCACCTGCCACCTCAACCTGCATTCAACTCCATCCAGTATGTTTCTGAGAAGTATGGTGCGATGGTGTGTGCAGGCGGTGAGACAGAGAGGAGCCGACAGAGAGCAGAAGTAAAGGAGGGGAAAAAAGCGTCTCTCTCTTACCTCAGCCATTGTCATTTAGTCGAAGGTTTCCAAGGATACCGTGGAGTTTGCCATTCTCTGAGGGTCCCGCTGAACAACTGCCTCTAACTCTCCTTTCCGCACAAGTACTTACGCAAAAGAGCCATCACTTCCAGCAGCCTCTCCTTCAACAGCAGACACACATGTACTTTTGTCTCTCTTTCACACACATGCACACACATGCACACACACACACACACACACACACACACACACATCCACACCTACACTCAATTCACACCTCGGTCCTAAACCGAACCCCCAACCCACCAATGGCATTTAAACCAAATGGGGACTCGACTTTTGTCCCCAAATGCAGTTGTCCCCAAATGTAGGCATTTTGTCTTAAAATTGCCCCCAAATGTCACCAGAAACAGCCCCCCCCCACACACACACACACACACAC